AATCAGTTTCCACTGCTCCCTCCCCTAGAAGGGTCCTGGCCCCTCGGTATTCTTAAAAGGTACTTTCATTGTTAACAGCATTGGACCTCATGTCTGACCTAGTGACTTAATTTGGTATCCCATTTGTGAGACGATCAGGCGCCCATCCTTGAAATGATCAATTTTTTTTATGGACTCTGATAGCCAGAATTTTCTCGAAGGGCACAACTGCTGCTGGTTTCCACCAGTTGGAGCCTTATAAAAGGTTTACTTTTGGTAACTATCAGTCATCAATGAACAAAGCTGACAAATTGAGATCTTCGTTGAAGCACTCGGCACCTTTTGGATTAGTGTAATCTTCCCTGTCACAATACTCTTCTCCTTTCCATTTAAGAGCTAGTAGGGTAGTGGGGGCTTGCCCTCTTTACATCTTTTCTCCTGCTTTTTTTTTTAACTTTCAGTCTTCCTTAGTATCTGGACTTAAGGCAGGCGTGGGCAAACTCTGGCCCTCCAGCTGTGGTGAAACTACTAATCCTATGATCCATCGGTCTCTGGGAGTCATGCCTGTGAGAATCTTGCAATGCATCATGGGATTTATAGCTCCACAAAATAGCTAGAGGGCTGAAGTTTGCCCACCCCTGACTTAAGGGGAGATGGAAGGCAGTCCCCAAAAAGCTAATGCTGCCATGTACCCTCAATTGTTTGAGGACTCCTGCCTCAGAGCTGTCCTTATGTCAAGGAATCAAGTCAGATTCTCCGAAGAACCTTACTGCAGACACTCCCTGTGGGAAACCGCACAAGTCCATGTGGGCTCAGATTATTTGGAGTCAGGCCCACCTACTGTGGCTGATTTTCAGCCTCTGTAAGACGTTTCTCAAAATATGTCCCCTGTAATCAGCTGACCATTCTTTAACTCTCTGGCAAAGGTTCCTCCCCATTGCTCCACAGCTGCAAACACTGCATTCTAGTTGGTGACATTACTGCATTCTAGTTGTTGAATTTTTTTTTTCCCTGGTCTGAGCTTAAGGTTGATTCTCATTGACCTTCCCTGGGCCATTAGCAGTTCCCCTGCCCTGTAGGGAACTATACCTCTTCTTGTTCAGATCCGAGCATTGGTCCTTCTCATTGTTTCAGACGGCTCCTGGTTCTATCCTACAACCATCAGTGTCCCTCAACGTATGATAAAGAAAATACAATTTGAAAATCTTACAAATCGAAGGGCAAAGATCCTCTCACTGTGTTTACTGTCGTTATGTACTGCTTGCTCACAAAACTGAGGCATGATGGATAGAGGTGGGGTTATAGGGGGCTTGCCTTTTTCTTCTGTTAAGCAGTGTCCAAACCTCCTGTAGGTGGTAGCATATTACCTGACTGTTTTAGAATTCCTGTTCCCTGCAGTGGACTTCAAGAAAAAGATTTCACAGTAAGCACAACATTTTTATCTTTTTAAGTTACAAATAACAACAAGTACATATAGATATCTTTAGTACATGACTGCTTTATATAAAAAAAAAGATACTTCATAAAACCATACAACACATTTATGCCCATTTGAGAAAAATGTATAGCTACAAAACACCATTTAATTACAGAAACAACTTCATTTCAGTCAAATAAAACAAACTACATATATAACAGTTTCTACCAGTGTGTGTGTGTGTGTATATATATAAATATATATATACACACACACACACATATATATATACACAAGCAAACATTCACTCTTAGCAAACATTCACTCTTCCTGCGGCATTCTCTGTAATGTAAACTTACTGCAAAAAGGAAGAATCCTGCAGTGAGAATCACGTATTCTTTTTATTTCTATAGCGGGAGGCAGTGCCTGGAATTTGAGTAGCTAAAGCATAGAAGATACAAGATGGTGATTGAACCTACGGGCAGCTACATTTAAAATATCGCCTTCGAGTGAATATATGCTTGCATTCCTGAAATATTATGCAGTAAAAAATTTTGATTAAGATTTACCTAAATCACTCGGCCTCATGTATAAAGTGTTGTCTTGAGGAAAATGTTTTATAACAACTTGACTCTTATAAAAAATAACAGGTGGACTGACTGGTACTCTTAGAAAAACAGACAGTTTGTGATCTTTATGCATGTTGTTTGCCTCCTTTGTCTCCATGACTGTAATACTTTACCAGCATCCTAATAGTTCTGAATAGGTACTAAAGTCTTGACATGTTTCATCCCTACAAAGAAAGCATTTGTCAAACTAGAAATAAATGGCACTGAGATCAAAGCCACGTTCTCACATTGTAGCCTGCTAATCGTATGACTGAGGTCAATTTTTGTAGCCCAAGACAATGCAGCACTGGTGGCTATCAATAATTTGAGTCCTTAGCCCACCAGGTTAGCAGATTAGGGGTCTACATCTGGTCATTACACCTCATAGAACAGGTTATTTTTGCTATTTTGTAAGGCCTGAAAGTTTGTTCATCCCATGATTCCTTGCCTAGGGGGGCCTACTTGTGGTTTACTTATTAGTCCTATTTTATTCCAGAGTTTTCATAAGCTTGCAAAAAATACCTTAAAAAAATAAAATTGTCACTGTTGTAATAAACATCTACAAGGTCTACAAATAGGGCTTATTTTGACTGAATCACTTCTAATGCACACAGTGTATGGATGGAATGTAAAAACAGACTAGAACTTCAATTAAAATCATTTTATTGTTGCACTGACCAATGTCAGTTTGTTCTGCAAAATAAGTGTAAAGGAACTGCATAAAATCAATGTCAACTAATTCATAAAGAAGGTCTTTTTGTCCCACAGCAGCCAAAATTGCACTGCTGTGTTCCCTAGTACAGGTGATACATTTCTGTGTCTTGCACCTAGTAATGGCTTCTCTATAGCAACACAAGAGAAATTTACTTGAGAAGAACGCTGGCTACAACATTTCACTAGCAGGTGAAATCTACAGCTGCAGCGCCTGGTAAAACTCCAAACTCAAATGTTTTCAAAGATGGTTCCAGATGGCATGGTAAATCCTTTAGAATCATGGCCCAAAAGCAGTTTGTAAGTAATGTAAAACCACCAATCAGAAATCAGCTTTCATTAGTCTTCGCTCCTGAATGCCACTTCTTCTTGAACAGTGGTATATAAAGCTTCAGACCTATATAAGTAGGAAATAATTACTAACATTCTCAGTTATATTTCTGGAATGTATGTAGTTTACTACAAATATGCTAACATTGCTGGTCATGATGGCCAACTGCCCAGATAACTGCCTGTGTCTGGTCCCAAACTAAAGAGCTTTGCAGAACCACAATTTTCAAAGTACATAAAATACTCTTTAATATTTCAATCCTGCCGAAAAGGAGTATCCCTGCAACAATCCTTAGCAGCAGGGACACTGACATGAAGTGTTGCATAATACTTCACATATAGCGCTACTAGACATTAGGTGGGGATCATAAAACCCACCATTTCCATATCTTATCCACTGTACATTTGTCCTAGGATTGGAAAAAAAATCTAAACTACTTAATTTAAGGTGAAGTGCTGTTACATGGAACCGATCAGTAACTTTGTAAGCTTGTATGAGTAATTCCTGACATGTCACAGAAAACAGCAATAGTTTAATTAAATAACTGTACATTGTGACTAAGACAGAATTAGGGGGCTGATCTGTTTTAGAAAAGTGTACACACAGTGAAGAATATAAAGGCTACTGCTCATGTGTGATTGAGTTCTCTGATCAGCATATTCTAGAAAGTAGAACAAAGATATCTCCAGCCTTCTAGGAAGATGAAGTTATCAGGAAGAGTACTTTGATCTCTTTGAGATTAAATAAATACATGCAAGAGCCATATGTACACATTATTGACTTTCATACACTTAACATGAAAAATATATCCAGCACAGGTCCACTATAACTAGAGATGAGTGAATTGTGACATTTGGAACATACCAGATATTTTATAGGAATCATATGTGATAAATAGGTCAAGCGTCATAGTACATAGACTTCATCTTGACTTAACTCTACATTATTTTAATCAAATAGTACACTGCGTTCCTTACATATTTCACTAATGAAAGGATGTCAGACTAACTGGCTTGTGTCTATAACAAGATGCTGTCCGCAAAGCTTTAACACAGTGTTCCTCAATATTATTGAGAACACTACGCTACTAAAAAAGAAGTGCTTGCCCATGTGGTGCTGTGCACCAGAACCACAGAAAGTTGGTACTAAAGTTCTATAAATCCATCAATTGAATGTCATTTAAACAAAACAAGACCCTTGTCATCTTGCTTCCTGAGATTCTAGAGGGGGTTTTAATGCACCCCCAAACTGATATTATAGCAGAGTGAGACTACATGGGGAAGCAGAACAAACAGTACAGCGGAAAAAGATCTCCTCTGGAGTCTCAGCAACATATATTAATTCAGTTATGAAAACCAGCATGATCTATCTGTACGTGAAATATCAGACTGGAGTGGAGTTATCCTTTAAAATAAAAATCTGCTATTATATTGTCAAACATTATCCTCTACAAAAATAGACTATAGGGAACATTGAACACATTCATTATATCATTTCAAATAAAAATGTATAAAATCAGTTAAAAATAACTATACAGTGGTACAGGATTTTAAAGAGAAAGGTATTGGACTTTAGTTGAGCTTTACATACTATATAGAGCAGCTGAGGCTCCCAGAGAGGAAACGCTTATCAGTCCATACTGGCGGACAATACAGAAGTTTCACATTTTCCTTGTAAAAGCAGAAAATCCTGCCAAGGAAAGGAAACCTCATTTTTTTTCCAGTCAGAAATATACTAGCTATACTGCCATTAATGTAATAACAGTATATTACATTTACTACTACACACCGATAATACACATTTAACAGAAAATGTCAGCATGAACTTCAATATGGAGTAAGTGATCCTGCAAGAAGATATGAAGATCTCTTATATGAAGCTCCCGGCAGGTGGGTTTTGAACTGAAGATGGTGGCGGAGAAGAAAGTACAGGCACCAAGGTAACTGTAGAGGCTTCAGGACTTGGCTGCTGCAAGCTGCATTATTCGAGTAACTGGAGCTCCTCCTAAAGACCTGCCAGATGCCAGTGTCACTCTTCCTGTCTTTTTGGTACTCTGTCCCCTTGGGCTGCAGGAAATGTTTTCTGAGGACAAAGCATTTAAAATCAGACAATCCATTTAAAAAGGTAATTGAGCCAGATTCTAAGTGTCTGTGCCCATGCACAACCAGACAACTGTAAGGCCTTTAACCAGTTGACATCCGCGGTGTTAAACCCCCTTCCCATCCAGGCCATTTTTCAATATTCAGCGCTGCGGTACTTTGACTGACATTTATTCCGTCATGCAACGCTGTACTGAAATGAATTTTATACCCTTTTTTAGGGACAGATAGAGCTTTCTTTTGGTGGTATTTATTCACCACTGGGGTTTTTATTTTTTTACTATATTAAAAGGAAAAATTACCTAAATTTTTTTTAAAAAGTTTCCCCTATATTAAATGATAAAACATTTATTATTACCCAATTTTTTGGTAAAATATAAAAGACGGGGTCACGTCGGGTAAAAAGACACCAAACATGTCAAGCCTTAAAATTGAGTGCGTGCGCGAAACCTCAAAAAAATGATAATCCCCAAAATTGGCCATGCTTTAAAAGCTGTTACCGCTCATCAGTTTAGTGTTATCAGTGATTGATGGCCCTAAAATGATTGCTCTCACTGCGACGTTCGCGGCGATATGTAACATGTGTAGCGCAATTGTAATTTTTGTGCGCTGGGCCACCGGACGCTTATTTACGTTTATAGGCGTGTAAACGTGGGGGTGGGGGAGTTAAACATTTTGGGTTTTTTTTCCCCCTTTTTTTATATGTGACTTTTATTTTATTTTTTATATGTTACTTTAATTTTTTTTATTTATATTTATTTTTTGCACTTAATTGTTATTGCTATTATATAGGGGATAACAATCCCCCCTATATAATAGCAAAGGCACACTGACAGGTCCTCTTTATGGAGACATTAGGGGTCTCTAGGACCCCTAATGTCAACTGTGGACCCCAAAAGAAGCTGATGAAGCAGAGATCTGCTTCATCAGCTTCTTTTCTCTGGCTATAGCAGCCAGATGACTGACAGGTGAATGCAGAAACGATGTAACACACATCACTTCTGCATTCACAGCCCTGACGGAGATCAGCAAGGAGCTGATCTCCCGTCCTCTTCCTCCTGACGCCCTCCGAGCCGGTCCCGGGCCGCAGATGGGGCAGCGGATCCCGGGATTCAAGGTGAGGGGTCAGGGGGGGGGGAATGGGTTGGTGGTGGAAACGAGCACATAGACGATCGGCGGGCTATGGAGCCGCTGATCGCCTATATGTGAAACACCCGGTAACGGGTGTTTGCATTGGTCGGGTCTTTTCTGCCCGAGCGTGCCCGCGCGAGCAGAAAAAAAATGCCGTCTGGCGACGGCAACCCGCCAATGCAGCAGTGCCGTCCATCCGTTTTTTTATAACGGGCGGACGGCAAGTGGTTAAAGGAAATATTTGCTGATAGAAACATGCAGGCTGCCAATGCGATCTTCCAATTCAGTAAATATAGACTTCCTGTACTCACCGTAAAATACTTTTTTTGGAGTCATTTGATGGACACATCAAGTCTTAAACCTTCAGGTTATACTGCCACTTACAGGAAGATTAGGCACTGGCAAATAAACTGTAAGCCAGCCCAGGGTATAACCCCTCATATAACCTCTCCTACTACCAGCATGCCTCAGTTTTGTAGCAAAGCACATCTGTAAAACAAAAAAATCAAGGCAACTGGACCTGTTGGGGTTAGATACCTCATGGAGGTAAGGTGTTGATTTAATTTGCATTTGCATTGGAGCTAGGCGGTGTTAATGCAATCAACACCTTACCTCCATGAGGTCTCTGATTCTGACTGGTTATGATTAACAGATTATGTTGATTGGAGCAACATTCAGCATATTTATTCCCAGAGAATTTCTGAAAGTCATTCACAGAAAGTAATTCTGAATTGAGAAAGCTAGTCGAATGACCAGCGAACCGTCTCCAAGAAAAACACTAGGGCTGCAATAACTAATCAATTATAAATCGATGAGACTCGTTGACAATGATTCTCATCGATTAGTTGCTGCTGCGCTCCTCCATTCTCCTCCCCGCTGGTGCTGGCTGCAGAGGTCTGTGTCCCTTTCAATCCCCACTACTACCATACTCTGTACAAGTACAGATACTTTTCCAGTTCCAAGACTAAACTAGAGAAAAATTCAAAAGTTAGGCAGCTGTCATTTTTAAAGGAGAATACGGAGCTCCTGGAATTTGTGAATCCCCGTTTTAATGTATGATTTTGTTTTTTTTATAAATATATATTAGGGATGCACCAATACCATTTTTTTTTAAGTACTGATACTTGTCCAAGTGTCATACACCCGAGTTTGGGAGAGGTATCGTGGATCTCAGCTGCGGTTCTCAGGCTATAATCCCAGGCGGTACTCTCAATCACAAACAGAGAGTTTGGGATTTAGACATCATGGACCGCGAAAATAATAATCAAAACAGAAGATGAAGTTGCACCAAGGATATTTAAGTCATACTCCTTTTAGCTGAACACATCAGGGCTTGGTAATGAGTATATAAGACAGTCTCTAGTTTAAACAGCAGCAGCAATTCACTTAAACAGCATAGGACAGTGGTGGCGAACCTTGGCACTCCAGCTGTGCAAAAACTACAAATCCCAAGATGCATCTGCCTCGGGGAGTTATGTCTGTGGCTGTCAGAGCCTTGCAATGCCTCATGGGACTTGTAGTTCCAAAACAGCTGGAGTGCCAAGGTTTGCCATCACTGGCATAGGATATCAGTCTTGGTATCATATGAGGTAATACTGAGAAGGCTCCACTAGGTGGCAGATTACAGGCTCCAACAGAAGTGAACACAGTCCATAAGCAGATACTTGCGGTTTAGGTGATCTACCCAGTGGCTTGTATCAGGAGAACTCCAGAGAAGGCTGGCTGCTGGGGGAGCTTTGGGGTCCGATTCGGTGTGGTAGCGAGGGTCCTGGAGAGGTTCCTGGGTGAGTTGGGCAATGATCCCTACAATTGAACACCCTACAGCGTTCTCAGGCGGCCGCGTTGAGCTTCCGCGTTCCAGGGTGGAACGCACAGTACTTCCTGTCAAGGGGGAGGAGGCCTGCGGCGGACTCCCCGGCCGATGCGTTCCAGCGTGGAACGCAGCCGGCGAGTGCCGCAAACCCGCGGAACATCACACCAAGTACTCACAGATAGAAGTAGTGATACATATTTGTTTAATGTCATGTGACAGTTTTTCTAAAACAATACAGACTAATGATTTCAGGACAGTGGTGGAGCGTCAGAGCCAGGTCCCAGCTGCAACCGCTGCAACCCTGGTAGTTCTTATGAAAATGCCAAGTATCTGGCACTGGTATCTGAAAATCCCTAACACAGACCACTGCAGCCGGCACCAGTGGGGAGCAGAGACCACTGTGACTGCATTTCTCACCTCTCCTCCTCCCCTGTACGTTTTCTGCTGCCCCGATCCTATGGTATTATTTTTTAAAGTTGTATCCCATTAATCAAAGTTAATCTGATAACTAATCAATTATGAAAATAATCGTTAGCTGCAGCCATAAAAAATACAGCAAGTCCAGTTGCCTTGATTTATTTTTTACAAATATATAATGACTTGGATGAATAAGAACCTTCACAGACATATGGTACCAAAGCAGTACCAATGGCATATTTTATAAGTGCAGATGGGCATGTCCTTCAATGGACTCCAAGAAAATAATTTTCAAGGGTGTACAAAAATCCTATTTTCTTTTTGGTCCCATTGATGGACACAGGAAGTCTTAAAGCTTCAGGACATTAAAAAGTAGTTCAACTGACTGATGGCGAGGGAGATAAAATATAATGGAAGTTTAAAGTCTCACCGTGTCATTTCTCATCTGACTGCTGGTTGGGAGGGGTATAGAGCCGTGTGGGGCAGCTCAGAGTAGAAATGTCTCAAGTTTTTCTGGTACAGAGCACATACAAAAAAATGTTCCCTTGTATGCAACTGAATGTATTTCTCATTCCCATTAATTTACTTGCAATACATTTAATACAGACTGGTATAGAGAGTGCATCTGCTTTGTTTAAAGTCAGTGCTGTGCAAGTCAGAATCTGAAGGCTGAATGAAACCCTCCCAAACCACATACAGTATGAACATACCACCTCAGTTCTTACCAGTTAATAAACATCTACAGCAGGGGTAGGCAACCTTGGCACTTCAGCTGCTGTGGAACTACAAATCCCCATGAGGCATTGCAAGACTCTTACAGCCACAGGCATGATGGGATTTGTACTTTCACCACAGCTGGAGTGCAGGGATGTCAAACTCAATTTAATTGCGGGCCACATCAGCATTATGGTTGCCCTCAATGGGCCGGTTGCGGTCTATGGTGGGCTGTGCGGACTCTTAGGTGGCTGTGCAGATTCTATGGTGGGCTGTGTAGACTTTCAGGTGGCTATGTGGGGTCTATGGTTGGTTGTGCGGGGTCTCAGGTGAATGTGCAGGTTCTACAGTGGGCTGTGCAGACCCCTTAAGTGGCTGTGCAGGCTCTTTGGTGGGCTGTGTAGACTGAAAACATGAAACGCACAGCTCACCTCTATCATGTGTCCCCGCAATCCACATTCGGTGCACGGATGACTCAGTAATAGGCTCAAAAGCTGTGGAACCAGCACACAATGATCTTCCAAAGAAATTCAAACTTTATTCCACATGCATCTATACAAAGCACAACTATGGCTGTGCAGGTTCTATGGTGGGCTGAGCGGACTCTCAGGTGGGCTGTGTGGGGTTTCAGGAGGACTGTGCGATCTCACCAGGGGTTCTGGCGGGTACAGGTGGCGTAGATCCACAGAAAGGAGGAGACTTTTGGACAGCGCTGTAAACGGGCACCGCCGTTTACATGAAGGCTGCCGTGACCTTGATGGGGACCTCGGTAGCCTTCCTGTGAAGCCCGGAACATATTTAGAGCGCTGACTTCATTTAAACATTTTTAAGCTCTAGGAAAGGTGCGAGAACCACATGAAATGATCTGGTTGGCCGGGCCTAGTGTTTGACAGGAATGAAAAGTGAAGGGTCTGTGTTGTATGCTGAAATATGACCTGTCTGTACTGGATGGCATCCATCTAGCACTCATCCCTTGAGATTTTTTCAGCCTATGGGGCTCTACTTAGGAAGGTCAGAGGACAGTGGTACTGCAAGTTTAATGCTTCCAGGCTGTGTGCTCTGTTCTTCCAATACCCTGTATTTTATGAATAGAATTAGTCAGTACATTGCAAGCTTATTGAGCCACTGTTTGCACTGACTAATTCTATTAATAAAATAGCAGGAACAGGAAGAACAGAGCACACAGTCTATATAGCGGTGTGGTCCTAATAAGTCAGAGAGAGCCACGAATCTATAGATTTCAAGAAGAAATCAGCAATGGCAGCTCTGGTATTTGTACAGGTTTCCTTAAACCAAAACTGGAGGGATAATCAACTGCCATACCATTTAAACAGTTAAAGCAGAACTGTAACCATGAAGACTAAAGAAGCCTAAATGAGTGCTTTAGCCCATTAATATACAGACGTATCATTTCTACATTACTGCGCACAATTTCTTTCATTCTCTGCATCTCATTGGGATTTCGGAATGAGGACTTCTGCTGTTAGCCCGACAAGATTGGCACAATAGCTATGATAAGTAACTTGTGCTTTGTGACAGTATCTTTATTCACAAAACCACAAGTTATCTGAGCAATTACATCCAAAGTCCAACTGACTCCTGCTCTTGCGGTAAATCAGGAGCTAGAGGAGATTGGTGCTCAGGCCAGACTGGTTATGAGCGGGATCTCTGCTACAAAAGTGGAACTAGAAAAAGATGGCCTCAGCCTTCTTCTGTTACATGAATAAGATAACTGTTGAATTTCTCCTGGTTACAGTTCATCTTTAATGTGCTCCTCTTGGTACTGTGCTGACTAAGGTCCAGGTGGAATCTGTGTCCTAACTTGTGCACATGGAACTCTGTTCATCAGTGTGACACAGCTTTACTATTATACAGTTCTGGCCATAGGGTAACTTACCTGTAATAGTCTGTGGACGCTGTAGCTTTTTTGCTGTGCTGAACTGTAACCTGCCAATTCGACTTTGGCTGGCTGTTCCATTTCCTACACGTGATGAGGATGAACTTGAGCAGAAGAAAAAAGAAGAAGTCAGATATCAGCTATAACTTAATTTAGCTTTCTACAGAAGATCAGATAGAGAAGATCAAAACAAAAAAACACAACAGCTTTAAGATGCTATCATTCATAAAAGTCGTTAGAAATGTTTCAGAGTATAAAAGGCCATGAATAGGCAATTTATTTATTCTTATATTTGTGTACACTTTCCACAGTGCCATTACAAAGCACATGTAGCGATTCACACTGGTTCCTCCCACCGAGGAGTTTCCAATCTGATATTCTTACTGCAGGAATATGTGTGTACAAAACACTGCACAATTATATAGGACAGGGCTCAAAATTTCCATGTGCCTGCTCGCTTGTGGTCCGCAGCAGACCTTACTAATCACAACCAGATCACCAGAGATCATGCCTGCTCGCCTCCTCCCTGCAAAAAGACAAGCTAGTGAGGGGGCTTCATTGTTTTACTGTGTGTGTGTGTGTGTGTGTGTGTGGTGGGGGGGTGGGGGCTGCAGGGAACA